ACCAACTGTAATTGTGCAACTATTAGTCACGTTTTATGGGTTTACTTTGTCTCAACTGTCATAGCTTTCATCTTGTTCATAAAAAGCTAGGGAGACCCAAATACATACATGATATAGCCCTTCCTGTTACAAGTTAGCAGTGTTTAAACAGACTTTCAACACTTACATATATATATATATATATATATATATATATGCACAGTGTTTCTGAAATGGAACGTCACACTAATGTTTTTCACCTGAATTTTCTTGTGCTGGTTTGAGTAGTTGCATGAATACATGGAAACGTGCACCTGCACACACACGCACACGGACACACTCACATTGCAAACACAGCAAACTGTGAGAATACAGAGTAAAATAACGATAGAGAGAACAGAGAAGTGTGGTAATGTTAATGGGTTTGGAAAAGACTGTGGCATTTCCTGACAGTACAAGCCAAGCATGTGCACGCGTGTGCGTGTGTGTTGATGTTCTTTCCAACATAAAACTGTAATTCTTTCTCTCAGCATTTGCAAATACGGTTCAAGGTTCCCATTTGTTAATATTGTTGACAGCTTGGGTGGTGGTCTCTAAGAACAGGTGCAAAATATTCTGACCATGCCTAAAATAATTTTAGGACTTTTTTTTCAATGATTTATATTGCATTTGACAATACCCATGTTCGTGAAGTTTTCAAGTGGATGTAAATTTCTGCCGTAGTTGCTGCACAACTGTTGCAGAACTAAATGCTTTTTTTAATCAAAGCATAGAAAATATAAATAAATGAGCGTCATACAGGAAAACACTCCGTAAAAGCACCCGTACACACTCATTGATAATTTTTTGGTACTGTTTTTTTAACTTGTTTTACAGGATGTTAACATTTCATGACCAAACCTCCATGACCGAGATGTCCCTGTTGTGTTATGTTTTAGGATGTAGGAAAACATGTGACCTCCCTGACACTGCTTACAGGAAGGGAACTGTTTTCAAAGTTGAAAAAAAAGCTGATGCTAATTAAAAAAATTGAAATCGCAGCCAAGTGTAAGACATGTTATATTCACCAGATTCAGAGAAGTTTATTCAGACATGGGTTGATTGCCCTGGGAGCATCATGACCCAGAGGTTTTGGAGAGTGTTGGACTGTGTCACTGAGTTGCATTTCTGCACCAAAAATAGCACACTCTGGCAGAAACTGACGTGAATGGGTGTTAAATTACCATAACAAAACGGTTATTGAACTTCACAAGTTGAGATTTGCAGATTCAGCCATGGGTCATGCTGCAGATCTGACGTCCACCTAATGCCTCATTTCCTGAAGTTTGTGTCACAAATCTAAAAATACTTGTACACCCTGATGCTTTGACTGTAAGTTTTCTGATAAAGGCCTGTTTTGTTTTCTTGAGAAATAAAAAAAGTTATTATTTTTTTATATATTTATATAACAGACATATGAGATGGGCAAAAAATGAGAAAAAAAAGCAGCTATCGGTTGTTCAGATTCAGTTCTATTGTTTTGATCTCCGCAGTGTTCCATTTAAAAGTGGCAAAGCATGAAGATTGGAACTTTGACTGTGGAGCTTCAAGGAGGAATTCAGACCAAAGCATTGCAGCTCCACTTAATATACACCAGGAAATATTTAAAAGCAAATGCACCATTTAAAGGAAAGTGCTTTGAGTTCAAATAAACAAAAATATTTGCAAAGAATAAACAAGTCTGCAGTTAATGTCTCAAAATCTTGACAAGATGTATCTAAAAATATGATTCTAACAAGAGAGCTATCAACATTGGTAAATAAATGGCTGGACTCCTGTGAAAAAATACAACACAACCACAAGATGACAACAGATTCAAGTTGTCTATTTTTCACATCATCTGTAACCTCTTAAGCTGGTTGTGTAAAAGGGGTAAGACCTAGTGCCTATTTACGACCTACCCTATTTTAGTCTCCTGTCTGTGTTATTGCTGTGTGGCTCACGTACGACGACCTCCCCGCTGGAGGCATCCCTAAGAAAAACAAACACTGATGGCACACTAACTCTTAGATTGCCATCAGACAAACACAAGCACCATATGTGGAACATTAACTTTGTGCAGGTTTTCTCTTTAAGTGAGATGTTAGCATCTGGCCTTCCATTATGTCACTTCCAGATAGGAAATGGAATTGTCTGTGTCATTTGTGCTGTTTCAACGGGCACAACAAATTTAGAAACACAGAAAGGAGACGTTTGTCGAAGATCTTTGCTAAGTTGTTTGTTATTGTAGACACAGAAACGTTTCACTCAAAGAAATTTATCTCAGCAAAATTGAAATGACTGTGTATTTACAATTAGGTATTGCATTTTTCAGGCAGTATTTTCTCTCACATACACCAATGAAATCAGTCAAGCTCAGATATTGAATTGTTTTTGACCAGAACTAACTTGTAGCTTGTTGTGTGCGTTTCTCTAGTGAAATAAAAAAAAAAAAATAAATAAATAAATAAATAAATAAACAGTTGATCATGGAAGAGTGAGCCTGTTTAACTTTACTGGAACCGAACCTAACAAATCAAAGTCATCCCTGCCCCTCTGTATACTCAGCACAACTGCAGATAAGAGTTGTGTGTTCATATCTGATGTAAGATAGAAACAACTGAATTGTATGGTTTTTTTTGGACAGTTTATTTATGCAACAACCTCTAACACATCATTACAAGAAAGGATTAATTATACTTCTCCTGAAATGCCTGCACCCTTTTTTTTTGCAGAGCATCTATTTTTCTTTTCTTCTCTGTAATGTGATTACAATTAGCTTTCAGGAAAGGGTAAGTATTTTACACTAAATACATGTTGCATAACTGGGTTCTTTTTGACCTGACATTTTTTACATAAACAGTTTTCCCCTTATATGCATACTGTACATAACACCTAAAGTAAATGTGGTTAAACTGAATCAGAACAGAGAGACAGCACAGTTTGGTGAGTAGGTCTCCCTTTGCAAAGGCTTGAATAGAGAGGAAGCACAAAACATAATTTCCTACAAAAAACTATAAAATTTTTTGGTGAATAAGAGCCTTTGTGTACATCCCTTAAATGGATTAAAAAAATCCAATTTAATTTTTTTTTTACTTGGCGCTAGTTGATTGGTCATCTCCAACTGAAAGCGACACTTTTGAATAAATAACAAAATCTCAAGCCATAACAATACAACACTTTTATTGTGAATATATATTTGCACAATAATCAACACAATATTATAAACAATTTTCTCTTATTTCACCCCCCCCCCCTCTTTTATACAGGAAATAGTATTAATGTACAAATGAATACAAAACTTATTCAGGCTAGTGAAGTTCCACAAAAAAAGAGTATTTCATGTACGGTATTAAAGCACAATCAGAGGGACACGCACATGCCTGCACATAGACACGGAACCCCCTGGGGTAATACACAAGTCAACACGCAACTTTGATAGACAGCATAACCTGATCACTCGACACCAGCAAACCACCATGAAGGCGAGGTGGAGAGAATTTAACAGCTATCATCACAATAGCCTAAAGTGTTAACAGAAAATCTAACTTTTGTGGGATCGTTGAGTCTTATGATAAAGTAAGGCAATGCTAAATTACCACTGGTGGTAGTGAGTTCGGAAAGTTTCTCTCCAGCAGGCCCTGATGCTGATCAACCACAGGCATAGACAGTGTTCAAACACAGAACAAGCTCATTCCATGACATTGCAGCATTTTTTTGATGCCGAGCCTTCAGCATCATCTTCACAGCACTTTTAGAGCAACGCAAAGAAAAGGAAACAAGCAGAAGAAACAGAGACGGCAAGAAGGAAAAAAGAACAAAACAAAACAGAGAAACAGTCTTTGATATGCTGATCTCATTCACAAGTCATCTTGGCTCCTGAGTCTGGTGATTCCAAAAAGGAACAGAAACAGGATTAATAAAGAGAGGAATGCTGGAACACAAGCTTGAATCTGGTTTAGGTTTGTTTTCTCCAGGGAGGACAACAATACCACGCTCCCCTAATCAGAATCACTGGTTTACTGTACTTTTGTGTGGCTGTCTTAAACTGGAATAATAGCAGAAGATTACATCTATTTCATCAAATATTACTGCAAGGACAAACGTTTCTGCTATACCACAAACAAGCATTAGCATAGAGGCATACATGGTGAGGATACAACTCTGATGCACTGCTTCATACCAGAAGATTTGAGCTACTACGTAGGCACTGGGAATTTGATGCATCAAACTGAGGACAACTAAAGCTGTCAGTCCAACCACAAACATAATTAAAAAGACTATTATCCTAATAGATTTTACAGTGTGTGCAATCTCACCTCACTTATTACTCAGTGAGTTGTTTTTAATAGGGGTGCAACAATACATGTACCCGTATCGAACCATTCAATACAGTGCTTTAGGTTCAATACACACTTGTATTGAACAATGCCGATTTTTCTTTTATTTTATCAGTTTATCTTCTGAAGATGCTCTGTGTTGAAGGATCAGTGCACTCTAAAAATGAAATGTTGTATTTACTTAACCATGTTATGTGGCCTGGTTCCACTTAACTGAGTTGAGTAAATTCAAAGCAACATGCTCATGTTCTTTGGTTAAAAAACTGGTATATTGCTTTGAATTTACTTAACTCAGTTAAGTGGAACCAGGTCACATAACATGGTTAAGCAAATACAACATTTCATTTTTTACAGTGTGGATCTGTGTTCGACTACTCCACCTGGGCTGCATTGTCGAGATTCACTGAGAAACTTGCTGTTTCATCGGCATTTAATTTAAAAACTGTACTTTTGAGGTTAAACAAATGTTCGTAGTTAATTTAAATGGTAAATGGTACTGAACTTATAGAGCGCTTTTCAAGTCCCTCCGGACCCCAAAGTGCTTTACACTAACAGACATTCACCCATTCACACTCACATTCACACACTGATGATGGCAAACTACACTGTAGCCACAGCTGCCCTGGGGGCACACTGACAAAAGCGAGGCTGCCATGCACCGGCGCCACCAGACCCTCTGACCACCAYCAGTAGGCAAGGTGGGTGAAGTGTCTTGCCCAAGGACACAACGACTGAGACGGCCGGACAGGGGACAGAACCAGCCACCTTCCGGTTCCAGGACGACTCCCCTAACCACTTCGCCACAGCCGCCCCTTTTTAACTTGTAATTTAAATAAATTACAAGTTAAAAAGGCCATGGACATTTCTCTTTTATTTTTGTATCGAAAACACATCGAACCATGAGACTCAAGTATTGAACGAACCGAATCGTGAATTTTCTGTATTGTTGCACCCCTAGTTTTTAGAAATGTATTCATCACTGTAACTTGAATACTAATACTGCACATCTGAAGAGGCTTTTTTCGTAATAAACTATCAAGCACAATCTCTGCAGAAGTCTGTGTGGTCCTCGGTACTGTTTTGTGCTTTGGTGTCAATGTGTTGTTGTCACTTTTAAGCTCCGAACTGAGCACATGCTGCTACAATAAAACACCTAGCTGCAAAATAGGTAATTATCATTTTTGGGGAAAAAAAAAACACCCAAAACAAAGGGATATCTTTAGGGGTAGAAAAAAACAAACCATCATTACAATATAATGATCCATAGCAACAAACAATACTGACAGCTGCACAAATCAATGCTGTCAGTGGACATACAGTCTGAAGGATTTTCAGTTGGCATAGTGGAATAATTCTTCAACCAATAAATCCAAGAAACAAATGAGGCAGAATTAAAGGGTTTGGTTAGCTCTTACTGTTGCACCATTGGAGAGGATTAAAGTGTAGCTAATGATCGTGAGTGCAGCTGAGCACATTAAATGTGTCTCTACCTTTAAAGAATGACGAGGAGAAAATGAATGAGCACCCTTTGGCATTGGGACATGAAAATGCTGATTCTAGTCATTGGCGTTGCAAAAGTTCTGCATAAATCCCATGTGGCATACACGTGAGTGTTGCCCGGCCTGCTATGGAATGCGATGATGATCAGTGAATGACCGAGAGTCTTAGGTGTGTGCAGGGGTCACGACTCGTGCAAAGATTTGGTGAGCCACAGCAGCAGTTGGAGACTGAGCATTGGCCAGAGACTCGGGATTAGGCAGGTCCCTCTTCCACAATCAGAATCATCTTCCTGTTAAGACAAATGAGCTGTCAAAAAAACAAGGAACAGCCTCTGACGTTTAGCAAATCTTCTAAAATTACCACTGATACTTCTGCTTTTTACAACGTAAATACACACAGCTTTCAAAGGATGAACTGTTATTTCAACACTTTTCCTGCCTCATTCTCCTTTTCAGTGCATTTGTGTGTATGCACATACACCTGCTGGACAGGGTGTATTTTGGATGGGCATATTCAGGATATCCATGCATGACAAAAGTCTCTGAGAAAGAGATGGGAGTCGTCTTCATTCAAAGGGCAGGAAAACCATGTGAAGCTTCCTCTGTTTACTCCAGTGACAAAATGAACTGGCCTGGACACAGACAGTCTTCCTGTGAGGAGCTGAGCCAAGCGGACAGCTGGAATAAAGGAAAGGAGGCACAGCCTACTTTTACTCTGCTCCTCAACTTCCTCAGCCACTCCTCCCCTCCCCTTTTGCCTCCCAGCTGGGCCTCTCCATAATATAAACACACAGTCACATGAATCGGTAGCTTGTTATGTGTGGGATTTATGCCTTTAGAACACAATGAAAGGCAGGATTCACAAAGATATGGCAAACATTTTTCTCCTAAATATTTAGACACCCTGTGAATTGTTCAAATTTGGGCGGCGATGCAATTCTTTAACATCTGATTTATTCCTCTTGCTCTTTTGTTTTAATGACTTGGATAAAATGACGCAATGTGCAAATTTCCTATAGAGCTTTTCAACTAATGCTGCCTCATCACAGTGACATTTATTGGGCTTGATCAAGAAAGAAAGAAACATGTTAACTGATGTTTCTGCAAGTATTTTTGTAAACCCAAGAAAACATTTTTTTCTAAGAATAATGAGCCAAATTTAAGTGTTTTCAAAGAAAATTGGATAAATGTACTCTTTGTCACACAAAAAAACAAGCTAAAAGCATCAGTTTGTGGTCATATTGTATCTGATTTGTAATTCTATCAGAAATAAAGCATTTTGAAGCTGTGTAATGACACTGACCCCAAAGCCAGTAACAGAAACAACAGAAAAGCTGTGAGGTTGGGTGGAGAACCTTTGCTGATCGGACACAGCGGCTCATCCTTGGCATGCAGAAACAAAACAAAAATGTAGAGATGAGATAATGCAAAACAGAAAAGAAAACAGACAAAAGACAGAGATGGCTGAAGTTATGCGAAAAAAACTTAAAATGTTTTAACTAAAACAAAACAAATGAACAAAACAAAAAAGGGAGCTAGCAGCCAAAATCTTAACAGAAAGCAAATGTTAAAAATCTTGCAAATACGGACAGAAGTCAACAGTTAATTCTCACTAAAAGAACTGCTTTCAGCAAATGTTGTGCGTATTTGTGTCTTACGCTTTCATTGTTGTCGAAACACACATCGGGCCCTTTGCGGTATCGAGGACTCTGAGCCAGTTCACAAGGATTTGGACCTTCAGCTGAACAGATGCTTAAGAACATTCTACTCACTTTTAGTTGTGTGCATTTAACAATTTTAAGAGAAAAGCAAGATGCTGGCTATAATGTCCGCCCCCTTCCCCAAATAATTAAATACAAATAAAAATAAAACAACTTGTGATTTTGCTAGTATTTTTTGAGCAACTTAAAAGAAAAGAATTTACTGTATATAATAATAATAATAATAATAATAATAATAATAATAATAATAATAATAATAATAATAATAATGTTAAGGTTTTTCAAGTGCTTCAAGTGTTTTCTTAAAAAAATAAAAAAATAAAAAAATGAAAGTACATGTTTTCAGTGATTAGAATATTTACATTAGTAGCCAATGTTACAATTATTTTCATATGTCGGGCATCTGGTTTGCTGTTCACACTCTACAGCCACAGGAGACCATCTGTAAACTGCTCAGGCAGGCGTGAGCCTTTGCATTGACAGTTTAAAGCCCCGCTGTCCCCTGAGTGATAGCTGTAGGATTGGAGAGAGAGCACAAGCAGAGCGACTCTGTCAGAGTTTACAAGCTGAGTGAAAGGATACACGGTTGCTCCGCCTGTCGAAGAGGCCGGGGGTCACACGATAAACACGTTGCCTTTGCATCAGTGATCAGAAAAACCAGGTTGGTGTTTGGAAGCTTTTCAGCACTGTACATCCTAGAAAGCACACAATTAAACCCATCTTGTATTATACAGTCATATAATTATGCATGTATTCCTACTGTAGCTTTAAACCTCCCACAATAGATGCTTGTGTTTATGGTTTATATTTTAAACGTAATACATGTGCAATTATGTGCACAGTTGGGTACATTCATGCACTTCCCTCCTCTTGAGACAGGTATTTTATGGTAGCTATTAAACTTTTGGTGACTACACTGGTTAACTTTAGGGCACAAGCAGACTTGTGAGACTCATAACAGTTTGTAGTAGCCACATTTAACCCTCTCATGCAGCATGATATGAAACAAGATGTGGTTAGATGAACGGCAGTGTGCAGTTTTCAGAGAATCACTGAAGTTAAAACATAAGTGAATAAAAAGGAACAGAGCAAATTAAATACCATACAGTTGTGGTCACAGACGTATCACTGAGTCTGAACAGAGCTTATTGGAAAACAGGTGCATAAAATGAGACTGCACAATAGAGAAAAGGCCAACAAACAAACAACTTTCTATGGAAATCCTAATTGGTCAGTAAATCGAGGGATGTATGGTAAGAGACACAAGGTGAACAATCTAAAACAGCACATCTTACAGTGCATGACTGGTAGCAGTGACTAAGATGCAACCATGAATACATTTGCACAGATGAATTATGCTCATAGAAACAAACACAGACATACCTGGAACAGTTTCCACAGTCCAGGACACCTGAATATGATCTCTCATCATTGTCAAAAAAGTACTGAGTCTGCTCCGTAATGCAGCTTTCCTTAAACATAGCATCTGGTATGTCCTCATCTGCTGACTCGGCTGGAAATAAAAATAAACAAAGCAAAAGGACAAGCTTTAGAAATAGTTCAGAGAAGTCAGAGAAATGATGAAAACTTTAGTCATTTGGTAATCATTTCAGAAACAATTTTTGCATATTTTAAGTCTTTTGTTTTATAGCAGAAATAAACACGGTAAAAAATCTGGTTTGTTCTCGTCCTCATGACAAATTTCCTTCTTGAGGCACACAACTGGAGTTGTTTTAAGACAGCAGCAATCTATCTTGGTTCTAGCTTTGACTGTTAGCTTGTCAGTCTGGTCAGAATTAAACTATTCCTCCAAAATTGAGGCAATTCGAACATTTACAATATTAATATTCATAACCTTTCTGAGTAACCCCACTTTGAATCAATCAATTTTTGCTGGTTATTACATTTATCTTACTGTACATGCAACCTCTAATTAAAGATGAAAAGTTTTTTTTCTGTCTCACCTGCTTCTAAAAGGTTTGGAAACAAGAGACTGAAAAAGAGTTGCTGAAGTATCGACCTAAGACACAAAGAATGAAAGAAACCAAAAGTATATAGTATTAATCAAAAACAAAGTTAGCTACATGAATGGGTTAACAAATCTTCAAGTTTTATTTTATTTTATTTTTTTTTTACTTTTCACAATAAGAAACAATCAATTTTTACAAAGCAGTAACACAGCTGTATAGGGTTAGTCACTGGTGATGTAAATGTCATGGGAAGTATTAGCTGGTCTATTTTTATAGTCTAGTTATACTGCAGTTGGACGACCATGCAGAAAGCGATGAGGTGGGATATTGCGTAACCGTCCTTGTCCTTCTCTGACCCATACCAGATTCGTCTTTAAACAACAGGCAAGTCCACTCTGCTAAAAGCTCCTACCCTGAAGTACAAGTGTACCCCCACTCTCATATGATAACACAAATAAACAAAGAAGCAAACAGAGAAACACCAGCTCACAACTTGAACACTCACCAAGCAGCACTGGAGGCCCACCAGCCAATACTCAGCAAGTCTGCGATAGTAGGCTGGGGGAAAAAAAAAAACTTTGGTCATTGTCAGTTGATGGTATTTGTGTGTAAACAATAATAATCTCTGAAGATAGCAACACATGCTAACAGTGGGTGTAAGTTTTCTAACCACAAAGATGGAGCGGGGTCCAGCTGCTGCCTTGCTGTCTTTCTCTGGGTCACACACAGACTGATAATCGTATGTCTTGTTGAAAGAGTACAGGGATGTGTTGACCAGGTGGATCATCAACACTGGATCCACCTCACCAAAAAACTGACCAATCTGGAAGAGTTTAAGTTTATACGCACACATAAACACACACACACACGGCCACGAACAAATGCACACACAAACAAAACAGCCAGTTAAAGCATCATAAACCTCTGCTCGTAAAAACAAAGTTTGCAGCTGTTTTCGTTTTCTTGATGATTTTTTTTCTTTTTCGTTTCAGCTTTTTACAACTTAAATTCTGTCTATTCAAAATAAATAAAAATTGCCCGTTTTGTCAATATCTATGAGTGTATCGCAATGGAATATATAGTGAAAGCAAGTAAACATATGTCTGATGTTTATGTGGTAATCAGAAAATACAAGAATCTGAGGAACACGTGCCATCTGGCAGGCGAGAGACTGCGTCAGAGTATCACTGAAAGGGCAAATCTTGTGACGCTTTTTCCAAAAAGCGGTGCAAACGCAAGTTCCTAGGAAGAGCAGAAGGTCATGGGATTTATGGGATGGGTGGCTGTGGCTGAGTGGTTAGGGATGTCATCCTCCAATTAGAGAGTTGGCAGCTTGATTCCCTTTTATTCAGTCACATAAAAGAAATATGCTGTCTTCAAACAACTCCATTCTCAGTTTAGAATCATTCTATTCTAATGCTAACTAATAAATCAGAAACATTTAACTGTAAAAGTTTAAAAAGGTTTGAAACATTCTAAATGGGCCGTAATACCATTTTTTTGGAAGCGCAAAACAGAAAGAATGTTCGTGAAAGGTCCCTGTGGACGGAAACTGTTTTACAATGTCAAAAAGAAATTTAAAAAAAGGTGGTTATTCAATTGATTGAAGAAGAAAGGCTGTTTGACAGATTTTGTGATGGCGGACCAGATCAAAGACAGCACATGTCCTGTCTCGACTGAAATGAAATGTTTTCAAACCCACTCTACCATATTTTCCACTAGGGACAGGCAGGGGCTGAGGGCGGCCAAGAAGGGGCAGAGTTAATGCAGCAGAGCAGACGTCTTAGACTCACAGGGGACACACTTCAGTGAAGCCTCCACGACTGACTAAAACCCATCCGGATTCCCTTTGAACCTCCTCCAGTGGCTAGACTTTTACTATACCGGAGACAAAGGTGTACTGCTGTCCTGTAGGAGTACAGCTCAGAGCAAATAGGCCTTTCTTATAACACAGCAGATTCATATGGCCTTTGTTTCACCTCTACAGGAGAACAATATGCTCTAGTGATTAAAACGAAGAAGGCTTTGTTTTTAGAGAATGAAAACTAGATCGTAAAGTCTGAATTTATCCTAAATGTACATGTGTACAGATGTTCTATTGAGTGATAACCTGGGGTCGGATTTATAAAACGAGTGTACGCACAATTTGAGCCCAGAAACTTGCGTACACCACTTTTTACGCCAAGGTTGTGATTTATAAAATCCAAACTTGACGTGAAAATGTGCGGTGCCTCACGCCAGCTTTGACCCATGCGTACGCTCATTTTGGAGATGTGAAACTGCGACACAGATGGTGAAGTGAGGAATTAGAGCCACACTGTGTAATGATCACTGTCAGATATTTAATTTACCTTCATAAGACTTAGATATTTATTCAACTTTGTCATCAGCTTTCTTAACAGTAATATTTATGCTTCTGCTGCTGCTGCTGCTGCTGCTGCTGCTGCTGAGCCATGAGGACCTTTGAAATAAAAAAACTTAAATCTTAAATAAAAGTTCCCGTGCGCAACTCCCTTCATCTACTTCCTCCTCAGACAATCCTGACCCACAGACCCCTCCACGACAAGAACAGCAGGACAGCAAAAGCTTTGGATACACGCGCAGGGCGCATCCACCTCGTCAGTGTGAATGTTATCTTCACGTTTAAAGTCTGTGTTTGTCACGTGCGTGATTTATAAAGGAAAGGTGCGCAGAAACGTGCGTACGCACGGTTTTATAAATCTGAATTTTTTTTTTGGTGTATGCCATTTCCGCCTTTTGGCCGTACGTTTACTTTTAGTGTGGTTTCCACGCAATCCTTTATAAATGAGACCCCTGATTCTTATTTGAATATGAAAACCCAGAAAATAGATAAATGACAATCATTTTATATACAATATTATACAATAACATAACTGTTGACGATGACTCACCAGGGAAATATACTCCTCTTGATTTGACATGAGGAGAAATCCTCCATCATCCAATATCACACAGTCCACAAGCTGAAATAAAGAAACAAACACTTTTCAAACACACAAATTACTCTATAAATGTTTCTTTTATAAAACTCCTTCTCTATTTTAAATGTAGGGACAATAAAACTTACAAAGGCAACCTTGTGTAAAACATATACTATAAATAACACAATAAGCAATAAATAAAGAAATAAATGAATAAAAAGGTATTTAGATTAAATGAGAAAGCTTCACAAAAAACATCTTCAATTAATGAATTTATACGCTGTACCTTGTCATTCCTCAGGCAGCCACAAATCTCATCTTTGCACTA